TTTTAGAGTAAAAGATCTGGTTTCATACCAAAACACTGTTTGGTGAATAACCGGCTGAACTTGATTGCACAATACATTTCCTTTTGGGAACGACACCCGGAAGTATAAACCAACAAATGCCCGGGAGTATGACGCATCGTCATGTCAAAAAACTGAGAACATGTCCTAGCTTGCTTTAACATCAGGACCAAAGTCCTTTCTTTAGACTTTGCTCGTCCGCCTGCTTCCGCTTTTTCAGAAAACAAGTTAAAAGCTTCATACGCGTGCGAAAAAGTATTGGAAAAAAAAATGACTGAAAGCAAGCGAATTGTGAAGCCGTCGTACAGTAAGAAATAGAAGTGCGAGATTAATCAAAGAACTGTGTGACCTCCGAAAGTCTTCACATTGGCAACGTTTAAAATGAATTGTTTACTCGCAGGCAAGCCCCGGGGTAGGCCCTTTGAAGCTAAATGTCATATTGTCCTACCCTTTAGCTTGTGTAGCAAGCTCTATTGGAAACGCTTGCTACGCAGGCTACTACCCTTTCATACATCTAACTTGTTAGTGACCCCTGTTGACGCGCTGTGTTACATTCGAATCCATTTGCTATGTTTTTACTAGCAAGCGCGCATTTCTACTTTTTAAATCTCCTCAGCATTACTACTTGCGAAAACTGTAGCAGTAGGATTATTTGATGATGGAAACCAAGAAAGCACTTTAAAAAGTACGAGTTATAAAACCATGGCCATCTTCGGAACCTTATCAATCTTGTGAATTATGTGCTTGCCTGGCCACCTTTTCAAATATTTTACTATTACTAGAGTAAAGAAATCGTTCGTTATATCCGAAGACTTCGTTGTGTAGATACCGCTATGGCGCGCCGTTTGTTTCAAAGTTATTTGTTAACGTGAAGTTTAATGTAGGGTAACATGTCCTATGAAATGTTCCTGATAACACGTAAAGCAAAAGAGTATCGAAGTATGACTGTACAATAAATGTCACAAAATCTATCTAAGCGGTCCCTTCGGGATTTTCTGTCTTTACGTTATCCTAACCATCTCGTACTTGCGGGCGCGAACAATAGAAACGCCATCATTACTTACCGATTCCTCGCGGTCCCTGTTCAAGCATGTCCACATTTTTTCTGGCATACTGACTGTATATTTCAGCTGTAAGTATATACACGCGAGTTACTATCGTGCCTCCTCGGGATTTTGTCTTCTAAGCGAAATCCCTACGGGGGAAATAATTCTTACATTCAAGATTTGCGTTTTCCAATCGATCTTATGGTAGCTAAGTCTTAGAAGTTTTCGTTTTCGCGCCGGGACTGTGATCAGTTAAGACTTTCTGATTTCTGATATCTTATTTTAGCTTATTTATTTCATCATTTTCAAGCTGGCTACCAGAACGTTCGAACAGAAATTAGTTTTTGCCGATCAATTTACCCCCAGAAAGCTCAGACAGGCCACAAGTACAGTATATCAGTATACAGGTTATGAAATACGCGCCACCAAATTTCTTTGGGCTTTCATTTCAGTGATATAGATTCGATTTTTCCAGGATATGGGTGTGTTCAGTTAAATCTTGTAAGAAATTAACGTCAAAAGAGTGGCCCCTCAACTATGTCTCGTTGTCAACCTCGTCACTGGTGTTTCTACCAGACGGAAACTATTAATGTGTTCTTCATAACAACAATAAGAAAACTTGACTTAGGGTAATTTTCTTAGGCTAATGTAATACCGGAAAAAGAATGAAAAGACATTGAACACTGATACCCCCTGCACCGAATTGAAAAACAAAAGCGAACCAACAATAGTTTCCTCAACACCAAGAAACAACCCCTTTTTATGTATAGCAAATGGCATATTAGCAAAAGCAATTAACCTTAAGGTTTTACGGAGGTAAGTACCTCGGCTTGATGAAAGACTGGGAATTGAAAGTGGAAGAAGAAGCGTGAGAGAAATAATCAGGTTGTTTATTTTCCGTTTGCAGGTTTTAGAGGCCCCCAAGCAGCATAAAACTGATCAGAACTGTTTAATGAAACTTTTATTCAGCATTGTTATTTTGAAGAGACACTTCTTTACTTACATTAAAGAAACTGGACATTTTAACACTAACATAACACTTGTTGTACCAAGTTAACATAACTTGAATTACTTAACGGGCAAGAACTAGCTTGCCTTCCAGAATCTCAGTTAAATTAAGCAGAACTAGTATTATCTAGAATCAGCATAGTCAGAACATTTTCACTTATTTCACATGCAGTTCACTTGTTTAGACTAGTTGATAGCTAGTCAGCACTACTCCACTGTAACGTGCCGGCTAATAAAAATTTTTTCAGTTTACAGATCACGAGACTGTACAAATGAAATTTTTTAATTAAAATTCAGCCTTTTTGTTTTGAAAACACACTTCTCAATTAACTTTCAACTGGCACTTTTAAGAAAAATGACATTTGATAATACTTATCATACTAATAACTGTATGGGTACGGACTACAATTGTGGTTTGTTCTCCACTGGCATGAATACTCAGTTGCCTACTATTGTCTACTGATTGGCCAAAATAGATGGAAAATCTAGACCCCCTCGCCCAAAATCAAGGAGGGGAAAATTCTGCCTTTAGGTTACTTTTCGCTCGGCTTCATCCTTGATTTTGCAGGAGGTTGGTGGGGGGAGGTATGTTTTGTTGCTGTTCAAACTCAGAATTATTGTCAGAGTCTTTCCCTCTTCTATTGTTGAAAAAACATTTCAGAGATTTGCTTTGTTTCGCGTTGCTAGCATTAAGGTTTGATTTTAAAAGACACACCGTGTTGAATTACTTGTTGCCTCTTATTTTCAACTGAGTTGGCAAAAAAAAGTGTAAACCCAAACCCCCCCCCCCAAAAATAAGGGGGGGAAAATTTTTTCTTTTGTTTTTTTTTCGCTCGGGTTTTTTCTTGGTTTTGGGGGGGGGGGGGGGGGGGGGGGGGGGACTAGATTTTCTGTCTATTTTGTCCAAGATTGGAAATTTGTACCCTGACGCAGGACTTGTCACTCGATCGAGAACTAAATAGAGAAATCGATATAGTCATATCTATCAGTTATTTAGACAGTCTGCGACGCAGGCGAGGAGCGGGGGGGGGGGTTGCTGTCCAAGATTGTAGGATAGACTGAATTAAACAAAGCACTGCTTGATCATTGCCCCACCCCCGTTTTAAAGGGCTAAGTTTATCACCAGGGCAGATTCAAATCCTGAGGGGGAGGGTGGGGGAAGGCGCTTACCCAGTCTCTGAGATAAGAGAGGGTTCCGGCCAAGAAAATAATAAATAAATGTCTTTTGGATCTACGGGTTTCAGGGGAATGCAGGGTATTAGCTGAAATTTCAACGGTTTTAGACTGTTACTTTTGCTACTCTATGCCGGGGTGTCGACAATATTGGACGCAAGTATCAGCGAGCGGGGACCATCAGCGGTGCTTAGACGGGGATTCGCCTTTGAAGCAATCTTGAATAGCCATGGTACGGGAACAGAAGCTCGCATATAATCGTGCCTCTGACGGGAAGAACATGGGATATTGTTCAAGATGGGCGTATAAACTGAAGGGTTTATGTAACTATAATTACTTAGCGAGGTTGTAAAGTTTGGAATACCAATTCTGTCTATTAATATGTACTCGTTTTTTGAATCAGAAATGTCAACAACTCGTACGTAAATACCGTACGCCAGCACATTCCATGAATTGTATTCTATATAATTGTTTTCGGTTTACCAAACGTGAGGTTAAGATGACTGGATATTGGCCTCCTCCTCAGTATAACGTCGTTGGCCGAGGCGAAGTCAAGGTCGATAAAAACGACAAAAGAAAAGAACGAGGCCAAGATAAAGCCATCTTGATTAAACAAGCTTGGTCAATAAAGAATTTATTATATGACTGAAAAGGGAAATTTTTCTTGCCGGCCAAGGCGACAAATCCCGAGCGGGCAAGATGTACCCATCTCTTCATTTCAGTTGTGATGAGCACTATTTAGCGCATAAGCAATGAATACATGATTTGCTGCTGCATGTTACCGAAATCGCTGAGAAAATAATCGGGATTTGTAATAGAAACCCTTTGATTCGAGGACCCTTCACTCAAAAGAGTTTTTTCTATCTTTTCAATCAGTAGTATCTCCACTTCATTTCCGCTGTTGTAGTTCTGGAGAACAATCACGGATTGTACAAAGATAAACCTTCGTTGGTTTCAGTGCTTTCAGGTTATCATAATTTCCGGATGATATCTCCATTGATCTCGAACTGGTCGATCTAACAGCTTAACTCCTCAGATCATTTGATCCGCAAAGCGCGTGTAAAAGCCCATCCCTGCAGAAATAAAGGGTGACAAATGTGGTAAAGTTAGATATATGTGACATATAATGAGGGTGAAGTAAAAATAAACAAATTATCAAGTACGTGTTTTTTTGCTCAGGGTCTATTCAAACTCGTTTGCAGCAAAGTTTGATCATTTGGAGCAGTATGATCAAACCTTAACATTTTCGTTGGTGATATTGTTTTGCTTGTCGTGTTTTAGCCCATATGTAAGAGAGCGCCTGACACATCATAAGTCTTCACTTTTAGACTAGAACTCAAACATTTCGTTTTCGCATATTACTCGTTCTTCCTGATTCAAACAAATACGTTCATGCACTCCCCGAAAACCATACCCGTTTCCAGACTAATGTGGGCAAAATCTATACCCGTTTTCAGACCGAACCGGTGCAAAAACCATACCCTTTGGGGCGAAAAATACCTATATGGCTTATATAAGGGAGTACCCCTCCCCCTGATCCCTTGGTGGGATCGCGTATCAGCGTGTGCCACACTGTATAATGAAAAATCGGGATAATAATAAAAATAATAATAAAAAGCGGAAAAGGAAATCCCTTACCGAGTTATCTTTTAAGGGTTGTCTTTACCTCTAATTGTTTATTTTTATAACTTTCCTTCAACATTAAACAGACACTGAACAGATGCGCCATGATTTGGCTATATAAACTCTCTAACAGTTATATCTGTTTTCCACTACTGTGTTTTAACTCCCTCGCTGGGCACAGTTAACCACTCGCCGCGCAGTCCACGATTAAAACTTATGAAATCATGGCAATGTCGCCTCAGTTACTTCTTCATTTGTTTTTTCTGTTGTGTATTGGCAGCAATGTTACTCAGTCTGCGAAAAGAAATACAACAAACAGCAGAGATCTTTTAAGCTTACTGAATGCCAAGCCAGAGGGCATCCCACCTGTGTCGGAAAACCTGTCGGAATCAAACCCCCTCGGAGATATACAAGCATCAGACTACATGGTTCGGCTTTTCCTGCGCATCTCGAAATCAAACGGACAAGTGATTAATCCGGACGCTTTTATGGGAGACAATATTCACGGATTTATCGATAATGGTGAGTTATTTGCTTTGAAATTGGACTTTCATTGTGTCGTTTGTAAATCGGTTTAATGGGTGTATACGTTAAAAGTGTCTCATATGGTTTTCTCTATGCATTAGCAACCTGCTTGTTTAATTTCGAGCTGCTCTAAATGCTGTTTAATATCTGTTAGAATGTCAGTCTTACGCGAACTTTGGTTGCCTCGAAAGTTTAGGTGGTTTTTTCATCTTATCCCCCTTGTGAAACTGTTATCTACCCGATGAGTGAGATCGAAAGTTCGAAGATATGGAATAACCGTGGATGTTGTCTTTTTATACCAAAATTTCAGTTAAACAATAATGACGGTGTCTTGCTACTGAAAACGTGGGTAAGTAAGCAGAAAAACTCCGAATTTCTTAGACAAACAGAACGGTTATCCAGAAAATTCTAGCCTTTTCAAGCTTAACAATTTTTTATGCAATATTTGCTCCTTCAAACAGTTTTTAAAATATTTTACAGCAAAAAGTCGTTGAGTGCCCCTAGTTTTAGGCTTGTAGGGCACAACATTTTGTTTTTTGCTGGTTACATGGTTAATTTTGCTTTAAAAGAATGTAGCATTAGTTTGTGATTCAAATGAAACAAAACTACAAGGCACCTTTTTTCAAACTTCGTGTATATTAGCCTGCGTTACAGCCGAGCCACTCGTCGTGAACATTAGTATAGATCTATACAGAAGGTTTAGAGTACGCAGGTTACGTGTATATTAAATTGAATTATATGAAGTAAGAAAAATCTGTCCTGTGAGTTATAAAATGGTCCTACATTAAAATTATTCTAGCACAGGCTGTATCATGTTGTAATTTATTAAACGCTGCTTTGATAAACATGTAGCAAGGAGATCAGACCTTCTGTTTTACGGTTAGAAAAGGGATGTAGAGTTCCCCAGTAAGCACGTGAAAGGAAAACCATTCTTCAGTTGAAGATACACGAAAGGGGTGTCTGTTCTTTCAAAAATACATGGTGCCGGTATAAAGTGTAAGGCTGGAGCTGGACAGTTTTCAGACTTAACTTAGTATTCCTTAGCCGGCGAAACAGCTGTATGAAGCCGTCTATTATTGGGACACTATATCCGATAGAAGCGACCGTAATCCAATATTGAGCCATTTACAAATCAGGACACATCGAGAAGTAACTTACTAATCATAGATTGGACCAACTGTTGCATGTTGGAAACAATCATAAGAGACAAAAGTAATCATTGAGTTCTGAGTAATTGTCTCAGGAGTTTTTATTTTTACACGTATTCCCCAATTTTAACAAGTTTGCGCCAAACTCTACAGAAACTAATTGAAATGGTGGAATTCGGAGTCAAAGATGGATGTTTCTATCATGGTCATTCTGTTGTTGGCTCGATGATTTCGAATAAACTAAAATTGAAAACTTCTGGAACTATTCAGTGCTTTTTCTTCAACCAGTCGGGATCTTTCTCAAACAACGTAGATCAGCAAAAATGCAGGGTAGATAAAAGTTGACCGAAAAAAAAAATAAAATGAAAGAAGAAAACAGAAAGCTCCGTGATGAATGAGCTAGCCCAAAATTTGATTAAGAACCCCGATATGATAAGCGAGTAGAGCTTCGTGTTTCTGGAACAGAGGTGGGAGTCAATACATAGCTTAAGGTAAGGACGAGAAGACTTTAAGACTGTGGAACTAAGAACACGAACGAAGAATATGAAGTAGAAGAACTAGCAGTTGGCGAAAATGAAACTACTTACGCACCCATAAACTTCATCAACAGCACCTTTGTTTAACATTTTTACAGACATGCATGCTTATAAAAAAAACGACGTTTCCTGTTTATGGTGGCGGTGCTTTTATAATAGCTGACGTCGGAAGTTTGTATCAAATTTTGTAAAGAGAAGGTCTTGATCTCAACAGATATCTAGAATTCGCAGCATTGAATTGTTTTGTCTTGAAATGAAACAAAGCTTGTCAAATGATCGCCGAAAAATATACCTGTATCCTCTTCGTCTCATTAGAGACATGGCCTTAAAAAGATTTTTCCGTTTTGCACATCTGTGCACACAAAAAAGAAGATTTGTGTGCCCATCGATTCAAAAGTTTTTCATACACTACCCCTGCATACCGCCACCCCTGCATACCCCCACCCCTGCATACCCCGACCCCTGCATACCCCGACCCCTGCATACCCCGACCCCTGCATACCCCCACCCCTGCATACCCCCACCCCTGCATACCCCGACCCCTGCATACCCCAGGCATTTCATGACTATGTTGGGTCCCCAGAAAGAGGGGGTTAACACAAACTTCTTGAGGGCGGAGGTGGGGAGGGTTTGGTGGGTAACGGTTGAAGATTTGACATTATCCAAAGAGGGGTGAAGAATTTCAATCCAGTGTGTCTATTTGTTCAGAGTCGCGACGGACGTGGTTTTTTTAAAATGTAAGACACTTCCAAGGAAAAAGTGCTACAAAAACTAAAGCGCGTTTTTTTTTAAATTAATGTTTTAAAATTCAATTGTAGTTTTCAAAGCTTCAATTATCAATCTCCATGTAGTTGTTTTTAAGTACAATTTAAGGGTGACTAATCTTTCAAGGACCGTCTCTCTACTATTCTGAATTGTTTGTTTGTTTTTTTTATTTACCGAGATTTTGTTTTATGCTTAGTAAGCATTTAAAAAACACTATCAAACTGTTTTACGACATAACTTCTTTCTATTCCTTTTGTTATAGATGGTTCCAACGACAGCAACTTCACATTCAATGTTTCAATTCCTACAAACGAGATTTTGAAATCTGCAAAACTTCTACTTTACAAGTATCCTTCGAATCATACCTCATATTCACGTTCCAGCCTGTTGGTCACCATCCATGACCTTTACAGTGGCAGAGAAATTGCATCCAAACTTGTAGCCATACAAACTGTTGGTTGGATAAGCTTTGAGTTGCCACGGGGCATAATCCTCCGCTGGGACCGCAAGCCACAAACTAACGCAGGCGTTTCTGTCAGGATAGCCGGATCACCTCGCCTTACCATTAATGCAATTCGGTTTGCAACGCGGCAAAAAAACGCCACTTTCCAGCCACTCATAGTCGCTTACTGCAGTGTTACGAGTTCCCTTTTTGCTGAATTACAGAGATCCACTGTTAAGAGAGTCCCAAGAGATCGCAGATCAGATCAATCGAGTCATAAGGGCAAGTGTGGACTTCAAAAACTTAACATCAACTTTAAGGACCTAGGATGGGACAAGTGGGTCATCGCTCCTAAACAGTACTCGGCTTCCTACTGCGCGGGAACATGCCTGGATCGGTACGATAACACGCAGAGTAACCACGCTCTGATACAGCTGATGATGCACCAGGAAACTCCCGGATATGCCAACGCCCCCTGCTGTGCACCAACACAAATGGCCCCCATTTCTATGTTGTACTATGGTGGGCCAGGGGAAAGTACTTACGTTCTGAAGCAAATGAAAGACTGGGTGGTTACCGCCTGTGGTTGCAAGTAGAGAGGGACTTTGTCAGCGCTATCGTTTCCAACTTCGAGATTAGGCCTGTCCAGATTGTGCGCGGCAACTTTTAAGCAGAAGGTTTTTTTAGCAACTTTTATTTCAGCTGCTTTGAATAATGCATAGTTTGGCTAAACCACCAAGCTAACCAGACACCAAACGATCGGCAGCCAGGTGAAACTTCAGCAGGTGTTGTGTTAAAACAGGTTTACTAGACGATAGAATCGGACACGCTAACGAGATTACTTTATTTAAAACATGTCTTGAAGTCTGTAACACAAATGTAGACGAAAGAAACCTAAAATAAGTCAACTTTCGACGAGAATGTTGGTTGTCTTGTCATCACTGCAGCGCCTTTAGAAAAACGCAACGCAAGACAGAAATGTTGATCTGCCTTCCCAGAGCATGTCGTGGGAGAACTACAGTGGGGTTCCAACCCAATACTAAGCTCCATTATGTGTTGTATGGAGCTGGTGCTAAAAAGAGTGCTTTGCACTCGCCTCGGCAGTAAAGGGCCTCTGACTGATTCTTTGTTCATTCAAAGGCCCGACAGACATGCCATGCTGATGAGCCCTAACAAAGGCGAAACAGCTGTCCATGGTTGCCACTGCCAGGGTGATATGACAGTGCGCATGCGTCAGGTGCTGGACAGGCGGTGGGTTGGTATGCGTGTGTCACTTGCTGTTAATAGTTGTCTAGCAAGATTCACCGATTGAGCGCTGGTCTTCCGCTCCTTTTAGCTGACGTGAGTATATTTCATAACGTGACAGCCCTTGACGTAAGCGTCAGCACTTCCCTTGGTGACAAACATGTTGTACGAGCCAAACAATGAAATCGGATCTTAAATGTAGCATTCAAACGAAATTTGGTACTGTGCCACTGCAGTACCGGGTACCCTAGCAACCCCCTAGGCAACCATGCAGGGCACTTGAATTTCTGCAATCCGGGGACTGCCTAGGAAGGCCAGATAGATCATAACCAACCAAACAAACAAAGATACAAAGCAAGCTACTTTTATTGCAGACTGACGAGCACGATCTCGGCGTTTACAGCAATCTAAATTTATATAAGCGCTGTACAATTTGTTTTAAAAACATTGACATGATTTCAATATGTACAATAATAACTTACAATGCATCAACTTTAAACATGAAAGATAATTCACAATTTCTCGATACTTGTTATCGTAAATACCTTCTGCGCACAAGACTGCCAGCAGCCCACTTTTTTGCCTTCGTGTTTCAATAAATGAAAAGCAAACAATTAAGAAAATCAAACGCGCGAGAGGAAAGGTGGCCAACAACACATCCCAGCTCCTTCGTTCTCAGAAACCACGGGTCCGTTTCTCGAAAGTCCCGTTTAACTGTTTTAGGTTTTCCACGTTTAGATCCAAAATCATCGTTTAAATGGATCTGAAAACGATCCAATGGAACTCTCAGTAAACGAAACAAAATTGACTGGTTTGTGAGCTGGGGACCGTGCTTCCATACAACTGGTTTTCACTCTGGATTTTGCCTTCGGGGTCGAAAAGTTACAGGGACTTGAGAGAAACTGGTCCCAGGATCTCGCTAAAAACTGAACGCACTGGAACTCATGGGAAAGATACGGAATACGAAGCGCGACCACCACGTGATGCAATGTACCTTCCCAAAAACACCGCGCGCTTCATGCAAGCTAGGAGAGACACCTAGGGGCGAACTTGGTTGTACCAAGGGTCTAGAGACGCCATTACTGATCAAAGACTCAAGGTTGCTCTCAACTCTTTCCATAAACTCTCAAATCGTAGAGTTCCTTTAGGTACAGTTACCAATGGTAACTTATTGCAATTCGTCCACAGATTAATAGGCATCTGTCTGGTGCCCTCACTGCGACAAAAACTGATACAAAGCTAGCATTCTTTAAGAACTCTGAAGTGTTGGCAATTAAAGTATACTGCGGTCAGCTACCTCACAAGCTACTCGATTTTAAGAGTGGCAATTTCGTACTTGCGCGTGTTTTCTTTACCACGGAAAGAAAGGAAAGTGTAGCCATTCTTATTTTATATTCTGACTGTCATGACCTCGAAATTGAGGTGGTCACACAACATTTCTCCCGAACTAACGCCATGGTGTTGTGCGACGACCGAAAAAACGGTTGCAATAAAATTACCCTGAGAATTTTGTGATTAAGTGTTTTAGTTAAGAAATAATGCAGGGGGAAACCAACGACTGTTTTCTGTAAGATATCTGTTCGGAGAGGCAAGTATTGCCTAGAATTTTCTATTACTTGAGGACGGCTAAAAATTCTTAAATGATCGTTCCATTCATGTACAATTAATGTGATAGAGAGAGGAATCAGTAAAATGCTCTTTTTCGTAATTCGTTAAATCGCATGTAATTTTCGGGAAAATAATTCTGAAGCCCTTGTAATTTAGAAAAGACATCCCCCAGGATGACCGTACAGATACAAACTTTTATAGCGCCGCTTAGAATGCATTCCTAGAGATCTAAAAGTATTCTGGATAGCCTAAAAATCAATGTATTTAGGGGGAAACCGTCGTTCGGTGCCCCTGTAACTAGAAGACTCAACGTGAACAATATATGTTCCCTGACTGAGCACACTAAATTATGACCTACACTGCGTCTAAAATTAAATTATAACCAGCAAGCTGCCGAGCATTTTTATAATTCATCACACATTTTAAGACAAAAAGGAGACACCGGTATTGCCTTTCATAAAACTAGCTACATCTACACCAGCAATTTTTAATTTTTTAATTCAATTTTGTTTTTGGTACTCGGAAGAGACTGACATTTCTCTCGTACGGAGAAACACGCGATGAGCTTGTGTCGTTCTCGTGAACAGACTTACCAAAAAAGAAACACCTGCTTGTCCAATGAATGGAAATTTTTAGATCTTGATATTAAAATGAAAGAAAACAAGGCGATTTCGGTACTCGTGAAGCCTTCTTGCATTACATCGAACTACTTTATCAGTGAAATAATTGGAAGGAATAAACTGGTGTAAACGTTTCTGATAGTTCTTCACTCCTTTAGATTCAACAGAGCAATCGACGGCAAACATTCATAAATATATTATCAGCTTTCACTTTCAGGAAATGTTAAAATTTGCCGAGGTTCGCTAAAAATATGTAGAAATCAATAATCAGAGAGCTTTTTCTTCTAAAGAGCTTATCTTCAATAAACCTCTTAAAATTTAATTTGTCTCAACTGAATTTCGTTTCAATCTTGGGAAAATAATTTCCACTCAAGGCACAGGCACACTGTAGTTCCTCTGAGCAATGATTTGATAAAAAAGACAATTGCAATGAATGTGAAATAATGTTATTCTGTTTTTTCTTAAGAATCCGCAAGAATATCAGAATGTATGGTTTGAAAAAAAGCACGCGTTCATCCGGAGAAAAGACAAAACGGCAACCACAAGGATAAAAGTAGACTGCAGCCCGTCTACAGTGGACACAGATCTGGAATAGTCACCTATAAAAGTTTAATTTTTTTTTCTGATGATTCAGATGCCTTGAAAATAAAAGGCTTGAATCATTTCCCATGGACTCTTGAAAATAATTTAACGACATTCTGAATGAGACGAATCACTACATTATGAATGGACACTAACACGAAGATTAGGACAGCGCGTTAAGTAGCTGCGTAGCTGGCGGGTTTGTTTGCGGAGCTGCGAAAAGCGTGCGCTTTTTCAAAGCTGTTTATCCCTCTAGTCAAACAAACTGCTAGCTAACCAGGCTAAACGCAGAGCCGTTCCTTCAAGATTGTCCTCTAGACCACCTTCACAACAGACGCATCCGACTGTCGATATCCGCGAAGGTCCACCAAAAATAGGGAACATCAGCTCATCCGTTCCTCAGTGAAAAACTTGCCACGGCTAACACGTGGTCTATGGCTGGCTTGCAGACGTTTTGCCCACCTTTTCACGTGAACGAGCTGACGAGGTACTGTGGTAGCTTGGGTTGGAGGGTAGGAGAGTCAAATGTGCGCCTGCAGTACACGGCTCTGGCCGGTGGGTATCTATCCTCTGGGCAAAGTAGATCTGAGTGGTTCTTTGACTCTAGGATACGCTTATACGCACGTCTGTACTCTTTGTCGAAGGCATCTTAAGACAAAACAAACCAACAACGCAATTACCTTAATAACTAAACCAGGTAATAATTGCAGAGTGCTAACATAGCTGACCTGCGATCAGGCGATTTTTTGGGGACGGGGAAAAAATCGCCTGATCACAGGTTATAACAGAGTATTGACAGTACTTTAGGTGAAATTGTAGGGAGTTTAAGCAAAGGTGTTTTTCAGTGACACACGTCAACCGGATGAGGCGTTTTCCCCTTTAATATAACTTGACGCTGCCAAATCTTACTGCTGAGTAGTGCTACTCAGTGAAGAAAGAAAAGACATTTAGAAACAGGACAAATAAGTCGATTTTTTAAACCCTTACCGACGTCAATGTTTTCGGTTCCACAAGCTGTCAGCGATAAGAAAAGTAACTCTCTATACACACTCCTACAAATGAAAACGACAAAAGGATGTAAAACGCCTGGCTACCTAATCACTGTACGCAAACATAAATTGGCCATTTTGAGAATGGAAAAGCTGGTCCAAAGCTAAACCAAACCCACCAGACCACCAAATTAAAACTCATTTCGTGTTTTCTTGTCTATAATGTAAGCTTCACAGCTTCATTAGGTTTCCCTACCACATTTTCCACCTAGTCCACCCGAATAGGAATAATTGCGTTTTTCTCTTCAAATATTTTGAATCTATACAGCTTTTTACGGCTTACCTGCTAAATTTTCCATCTAGACCACCTGATTAACAATAATGGTGTTTTCTTTCCAATACTTTGAATGCCAGTGAGGTCAGATGAGGGAGCTTAGACAACGATGAGGACGGCGACAATGATAATGTCTCTAAAAATGAATTTCCGTTCTTTCAAATTTTATCGCTTAATTTGTCAAATGTGCACGAATTTTCAGGGAGTTGAGTGCTTGGGCTGGACCATATCCGAGTTAATAAAAAGAGAAAGGAAAACAGGGTTCATACAAAAAAATTAAACCATTTTTTAAGGACATTTCAAGGACTTTTCAAGAACCAAATTAGATTTTCAAGGACCACCTGCTAGGAATTTAATTTCACAGATTGTATAAAAATGCACATTCCCAGTCTATTCTAATAAGACTAAGGCATAAACGGTTGGCTTCACCAACTTCTCTACATTTTTCAGTTCACTTGCCTTTAACTTATAGTTAATTATTGCATAAAGTTTAAATTCTCTGAGCTATGATTAATATTCTGTCTTACACACAAACAAAAAGCATCAAAAAATTCTTTTCAGGCCACTACATTCAAAGTTGAAGAAAATTCAAGGACCTTTCAAGGACTTGCACAGAAATTTAAGGACTTTTCAAGGAAAAATGGAATTCAAGGACTTTTTAAGGCCTTCCCCTAAAATTAAAGGACTTTTCAAGACGGTGCGCACCCTGGAAAATTCATCGTCGTGGATTCACGTCCTGGATAAATCAAGTCGCATTAGGAAATCTCACGTCGCAGTCCTGCAGTGGACTTCAAAGCAATGTACCAAGAAGTGTGACGCATGCGCAGAGTGTCGTTTTGCTTGTTATTAACTTTCGCGTTAGCACACATTTTAAGAAATGGAAGAAATTTTTGCCATTTGTAAGCTCGTAGAAGGGGTGTCCCGCATATGAGTTTCACTTTACATAAGTTTATAATTAATGATAGTTTGCATGTAACACTAATGTCTCGACCATTGTATTTTTTTCCTTTTCTCTTTTTGATGGCATTGTGAATGTTTTCTATGTTAATTTGTATTTTTTTTGTGGTTGTTATCTAAATAGCGTACATCAAAATTTGTTTGGATACTTTGTGTTTTGTACTGTTTTTGAGTAATTTGTTAACTTTTTGACTTGTTTTTGTTTTGTATTCACTATTTAGGTGGGAAAACAAATAATAAAAGCTCATAAATTACACACTCACGAACACACAAATAAACTTTCGCGTCGGCGTCGTTGTCATGGTTGCTTAAGCTCCCTACTATGATCATCCGACGTCAACTGTGTTAACACGAAAAAGAAAAGGTACAGTTTTGATCGTTGACTAAGGTTGAATGACACCATTATGTGTGACAAATTCATCAACAGATCCTCGTGGCCATTGTGTAAAAGGACACATTTTCGTCGTGCTCACCTCTCGGGAGCAATTGGTCAAAAGGTTTCGGGAAATATAGAGGTAAATATCAGAGCATACATACCATCTCGCATTGGGATTAATGTTCTTTTGACGGTTCCTTTCCTCTAGAAGGATAAGGGTTGGGTTTACGACATCATTCTCTTGAATATGAGCTACAACGGACTGCATAACACTAAAGAAAGCAACGAAACACTATCAGCGTGGACAAAAAACAGCGCTGTATATTTCCTACGGTAGTTACAACCACAAACATAGAAAGATAACCGGCATATCGGGCGTTCGAGAGGGGTCAAACCAGGCCCACGAGATCACGATGGCCACCCTTGGCCATTCAGCGGGCCTA